GGGGGGCTGCAAATGTAATCAGGTCTCCATGCACAGTAGTCTTAGCCTTGCCCATAGCATTTCCTTATAGCCATAACACAGTTGTTCTGACATGAAGATGATTTACTCGCTCGAAGGTGACATGTCGTTCTCAAAGAAAAGCAGAGGTGGTAAACTATGCAAACATTGACAGTGTAGTTATTGTTAAAGTGTGTTCATTTCTAGTTAACCGTCACTGATCGAACCAAATTATGTAAAATTAGAATCACTGCAATTATTAGTATTAACAAAACAGTAAATAATTAGATAACATCGTTAGTAATGACGTTTGAGCTCTTAAACCAAAAACCAAGCAGAAGTCTCTGATCTTCTATTGCAGTCAAATATGTCATTTTTGAGGATTCAGGTCAAAATAATTAAAAGCTGAAACATTCAGATGAAAGAATGCAGTGTAGGTGTTGATGCAGCCTTATAATCCTGTTACTGTACCAAAAGGAAGTGACATAAACATGGTTTACAAAACTGTGGCCTGACTCTCATCGTGACAGTGCTTTTAAATACCACAGGTTGCATTTCAATGTAGTGCTGATGAGATAAAATGATATTTTGCTTTTGATTTTTAATTGTTCATAAAAAAATGTGCATTTTGTCAAAGCTGTGTCTTTAGTGTTAGCACTGATAGCTTGTCTATGGCGAGATAGGGTCTTTCATTCGCCACAGCTTCAACACACCCTCTTGTAACTTAAGATGATCCCGATGCTTTTTATTTATTAAAACAAATATAACAAATGTTTATTGCTTACAAATACCTGAATGATTGCCTAAATATTTGCTCTAATGATTGAATAATATTTTCCACAGCATTGTTTTGTAAAGTAGCTCATTAAAAAAAAAGGTGCTGTTTTCATTCAGCCCAGAAACCTCAAAGCATGTTGTGTGATCATGAGCATTGTGAGAGGAGGACTGGTGTAGAGCTATGTGTTCATTCTACTCAAGCCATATTAACTCATCTAGCACACATCTGTGATACAGTGCCATTCTCTGTAAGTGTTGCTCATACTGTATTGTGGCTACTATCTCAATACACTGTGACAAAATAAATCAGTGCCTAAAAACGGTTCCAGTGGTTTTACATGACTGGATGTTGGGAAAACCTCACTAATGTTTATCATGTGAAAAACTGTCAGTCAGTATTAACCATGTTTTTTCAATCAGTATTTCATAGCCTGCCACTGAATTCGCGTATTTATTCCAGTCACACAGTTACTTTTAGCCATGCTTCTTGTGATCGTTAACAACTTGTTGTTTATGCAATTGAATATTTTGTTGATGATATTCCTCATATAAAATTATTTATCTGTTTTCTTTTAAACTTGTCCTGTCCAGCAGTTTTAGCAAGCACACTTCTGGACTTTGTTGTGTCATACACCAGCGGTCTCCAACCCCCGGGCCTCGGGCCGGTACCGGTCCATGAGTCGTTTGGTACCGGGCGGCGAGAGTTGAGGCTCAGGTGTGAAATGTATAGTTTTCAGGGCTTTTATCGGTTTTCAGTGTTATTTTGTTATCGTTTTTATCGTTTACTCAGTTTTCCTGGGTCTTTTCACGTGTGTTATGAATAGATCTTCTTTTTTTCTGTACCAGTACTAGTTTTATTTTGTTGTATTTATCCGCGACACCTTAAAGGCCGGTCTGTGAAAATATTGTCGGGCATAAACCGGTCCGTGGCGCAAAAAAGGTTGGGGACCGCTGTCATACACATTTGCTTTGCCAAGAGGAGCGCTATAGACTCTGGGTTCCTCTGTTAATCTTATTTTATCCTGTTTTGTTTTTTTTAAATTCTTTATTTCTAAACTATTACTTCACGAAGGTGATTACAGGCATTAATCAACACAATTTACAAGGGAAAAACAAAACAAAACGAAAGAGAAAGAAAAAAGAGAAAAGGAAAAAAAACAAAAAAACAGTCGGGAGTGACCAGTTAGCTAGGTTGGTGGTTTCAAGCTTTGAAAAGAAGATTTGGCTTATGGGTATTGGCATATAGGACCCACTTATCCCAACACAAATGGAACCAACCCACCATGTCATTGACATGAGCTGTTACCTCCTCCATCCTATAAATCTCATAATTTCCCACCATAATGACAAGGTTGGTATATCTTGCAGGGACCATTTCTTAGTTATACTTTTTTTACTTGCAACAAGTAAAGCTCTTAACAGACATGTATCATTTTTAGATCAGTTCTGTGGTATACAACCAAAAAAGATTGTCTTCATGTCCAAAGGGAATGTACAGTCAAAAATGCCTTGTATTTGTATTGTACAACATAATAACAAGAGCTCATATCTTGTTATTCACATTATTATCTCAAAGTCTTATTATGCCAAAGGTGACAGGTGGTGAGGGCCAAAACAAGAAGGAGAAAGAATAAAAATCAGGATCTAATCTTTGCTCCGTTAACCTGACTTCAGCCCAGGAAGCCTTAAGCATTGGTTTTCGTCTTTACCTGTTGTGGCTCAACTGGGTCCTTCTCTGACCCCACCCAATGGAGAATGAACTGATCCTCCCAGCCCGGTGCATCATTGGATCCCTCACCTGGGAGATCGAGTCTCTGGTTGGCACAGCAAAGCAAAAAGAGCAGGAGGGCCTCCTAATCATGTGTTTGTTCTTTCAGATTTTGCCTTGATTCCATTTGTCCAGTTGCCTTCCCTTGGCTTGTCTAGGCTTCTCCACTTCCTTGTCGGTTGCTCACCTGTAAGAGATCAGCTGATTAGCTCACCCGTTGCTCATCAGGTTATTATTCTGGCCTCTTAAGACTGAAGCAAACAGTCAGTCATCATCAGATCATTGTGTCAGGCCTCAGTCATGTAGGGTTTGCTTGATTTCTGCCAGTCTAGTACTGGAATTAATCTGTTTCTGTGTATACTTCTCAGCATTTTCTGATCCCTGTAAGCTTTTGTGACTGATTGTCTTTGGACAACCTGTAAAATCTTTGTCATCTCTCTGATGATGTCACAGCATCACAGACAATGGTTTTCTTTGTTCACTTCTATAAATAAACAGGTTAGGTTCATCATTCTGTTGGTTTCTTGATAAGTTCAGGTGGTTGAGACATCTGACTCGGGTGGTTCTTAGGTGAGGTGTTTTGGAAATACAAACCCTGGAAGAAGCTCAAGAAATGCTGGAGAGATTATGTGTCATTGTTCACATAATCTCTCCAGCATCTCTCAGTGTCTTACCAGAAGAAGGGGAGAAGATGACTTTGAGGAGGGAGGTCTGGGCATCTCTGCTTAGAATGCTCATCCCGCAACCCTGAGCCAGCTTTGACAAGTCAGTCAAAGCAACAGCATCAAACTGACCAGCAATGGCAGCAGTGTCTTGCTGGAAAAGCTTCTCAATTGCTTCTCAAAAGGACTGCCCCATTAATGGCTCCAGTGAGAGAAATTTAATTCAGTTCAAATAATGCCAAATCAGCTACTTATTGGAAGGTTGGTGGTTCAATCCTTGGCTTCTCCAGCCTGCATGCCAAATATCCTGGGGCAAGATACGAACCCCAAGATGCCGTCCGATGCGTTCATCGGAGTGTGAATGTTGGTTAGTTTGCGCTTGAGTTTAGAAGTGATGTATGAGTGGGTGTGAATGGGTGTATGAGGCATGTTGCGCTTTGAGAACTCCAGGAGAGCAGGAAAGCGCTATATAAGAATCAGACCCCAGTATGTGAGGCTGAAGGACGGTGGTAGTCTGTAGCACGGGGGCCCCACAAGGAACAGTGCTCGCCCCTTTCCTCTTCACCCTGTACACTGCAGACTTCAGTTATAACACGGACACTTGCCATCTCCAGAAGTTCTCGGATGACACCTCCATTGTGGCCCGGGTGTCGGAGGGAAACGAACTGGAATACCGGGGGGTCATCAACGACTTCGTCAGTTGGTGCAAACAGAACCATCTTCACATCAATGGCAGCATGATGAAGGAGCTGGTGACTGACTTCTGCAAGAAGCCACCTCCTATTACACCAGTGAACATCCAGGGTTTGGACATTGAGACGGTGGAGGAGTACAAATACCTGGGTGTTCACCTCAGTAACAAACTGGACTGGTCCACAAACACAAACGCACTTTACAAAAGGGTCTAAGTCGTCTCCACCTGCTACGGCGGCTGAGATCCTTCGGGGTGAACAGGACACTGTGGTGGCATCTGCTATTTCTATGCTGTGGTCTGCTGGGGTGGTGGAAAGGCAGAGAGGGACGGGGGGGAACTCAACAAACCGGTCAGGAGCACTGAGCAGCTCGTTCAGCAGTAGACTTTTGCTCCCACAGTGTAGGAAGGAGCGCTACCGCAGGTCATTCTTACCAGCAGCTGTCAGACTAAATTACACAGTTTAACATGGTCATCCTACTCATCAGCTTACATTTTATATATAGTTATGTACAGTTTTTCTATACATATTCTGTACATTGTTACCTGTATGTACGAACTTCAATTGCTTATATAAATAGGACCACCTTGTGTCTTCCTTTTATATTTTATATTCCCCTTGCTATAAAAGCTGTGTAACACCCACATTTCTCATCTGTGGGATAATAAAGGTTTATTCTGTTCTACTACCAGTCAGAAGTTTGGACACACCTTCTCATTTAATGGGTTTTCTGTATTTTCATGAATAATTACATTGAAGGCATCAAACTATGAATGAACCCATGGGGAATTATGCAGTAAACAGAAAAGTGTGAAATAACTCAAAACATGCTTCATATTTTAGATTATTTTGCTTTGATTCTGCTTTGCACACTCGTGGCGTTCTCTTGATGAGCTTCATGATTTCGTCACCTGAAATGGTTTTCCAACAGTCTTGAAGGAGTTCCCAGAGATGCTGAGCACTTGCTGGCCTCTTGTGGTTGCTAGCATATTTAAAAGTTGTAATGGGAACCAGTTGGATTCAGAGGAAGAGACACCCTCTTTACTTTTAAGATTAGGTTTAAAACTTATAGTTTTAGCTTGTAGTTAGGGCAACACTGGCAACACCTAGGCCAAGTGTTTTTGACCCATTAACACCATTTTTTGGGTCATTTGCTGGTTTGCTCTTTAAACAAATTATGTAAATCAACAAAGGCAGCTACAGATAAGTCTGGGGTCCTCTTCTTTGCTCTCCCTTTGGTTGACACCACTGGCTACATGGGACAGAGCAGCAGTGTATCATATCATATCGTTTCATTTTATTTATGTTTCCCAAAGACAGACAGAACCAATATCAATGATAAAACCTTGGGTGTAATAAATACATTTTTTAAAAATAGTCTTCAAATTTACTTAAAAAACAGATTCAGTTCAACTGATCATCTTGTTACATTACACTATTCTGCTGGTAAACATCAACTGTAGCATCACTGTGAACATCGTCTGGTAGGGGTGATTCTGTCTTCCCATATGGTGACATCAATGTTCAGGTATAAATGTGTAGTTTTGTATGTATCAATATAGGGTCAAATGATCAGGGCTGTGATAAAAAATATGTTTTGTCACTTTTGTTAAAAAAATCAAAAAACCAAAAATCAAAACTGATGTGTGAGCCCGATCCAGGCTTTGGACATTTGTAAATGTACATTTGTAAAATCCTGCTATGAGGCGTAATCAGATTAGGCAATAGGCCAGCTACAAAACAGGCTCTTGCCTTCTAAGGCCACATCCAAGTGAGAAGGATCCAAGAAGCAAAAAGTCAAGCAGCAGTTATTGTGAAGCACATATACAAGAATGTGTTTCAAGTAAAGTTAAGACAAATTAAATTTATGCTGCAGTTACACTGCATGTCAGTACACTCAGGTGTAACAGCATTAATTAATTACATAGGAATACACACTCGTCCAGTACGTGTATGAAACCAGCACCTTACATGTCTGGGACACACGTTATGAACCCCTTGTAAAAGAAAACTGGGTGGAGTTTTTCACTTTGACACTAATTTTTGTTCTTTGAAAGAAAATCCTCCCAACAGAAGGTTTTCTAACAGGAGCATTAAACCACTGGGAACATCACCTCAAAACCACTCATGGTCTCCACATGTGAGACACTCAAATCCACCGACTGATAATTATTGTTTCTCTTTAATTAATTGACGAGGACCCTAAAATATATCTACATGTACAGTGTTTATTTGGCTGACAAGATTTGACTAACATACACATCACATTTGCTTTTGTTGTTGAACTGTTGTCTGCACATTGTTGCCTTCTACTTTGGGAATGAATATGGACAAAGAGTCTAGGTTCACTTCAACCACCAAACAAATTTGGGCGTTTTGTTTATGGTCATTACTTTATAGAAAAAAGTAATCCTGAAAAAACGAGTTAAACATTAACTAGTTTTAATTAGTTAAAGATTAAACAAAACACCTCGGATAGGTAAACTTGTGTTATAACTACATCGCGACATAAATGAACAGTGACCTTTCACTACTAATCAGTAACAGTCAGAAAAGAAAAACATTGAAAGTAAGTTTCTGAATAAGCAACATGCACAGTGAAGGACTCAAACAGCAGCTCTTCAGACGTGGAACAGATGCTGAATCCAGAAATCATTGGTCACAACCTTCAGTCGTCTTCCTTATTCACTGGCTCCTTTACTGGTCTTTTATGCTGAGCACTGGGTCCACCAGTTTATTATGGACGTGCATTAAACCTACAACAAAAATGAAAAGAGTAAAACAAACTGCTGGGATGTGGACTGTCAAATATCCAAGCTATTGCTAATCTAATGCTAAGCATATATAAGTAAATATGTACGTTTGCAGCTCTCAGGCTATGTCCACACGTACCCAGGTATTTTTGAAAACGCAGATTTTTCTATGCGTTTGCACCTTT